CTCCCCAGTTGTGCACTAACAATTGTTAATTACCTGGGTCCTGTACTTCTCACAGAAATTCTCACGGTTCCACTATACATTAAAGATGTCTCTGAAAAAGAAACCACACCTCTTGATGCACAACTCTTTCCAAAGGCTAAAAGCTAAGTAAGTTGGAAATGAAGATCATTGTGAGTAGTCAAAATTGAACATACTCAAAGGATTCTGACATAAGTCTTGGTTTGTCACATTAAATACAGAACTGTGTGTGTGTGTGTGTGTGTGTGTGTGTGTGTGTGTGTGTGTGTGTGAACTACAGATTTAAATATGGTTGGAAGCCAAATGAAAATAGGAGACTGTGATAACCTCTCAATATTTAGGATATTTGTAAAACCTATTCTTCTGAAAAGTAACCTAAGGTATGAAATTATCTCTATCTATCTATCTATCTACCTATCTATCTATCTATCTATCTATCTATCTATCTATCTATCTATCTATCTATCTATCTCTGCCTTTCCCCTATTCTAACTGATCTAGATACATCGTGCCTTAAAAACATTTTTTAAGAGTTCAGAGGTCCTTTTAGCCTACATATAAAAATAAAAAACACTTGTTAAATATAAAGATTATCTAGCATAAATAAGTAATTTCTAAAAGGGTAATATAGGAGTTAGCTGTTGACAATACCTAAAAAGAAAAACAACCATACCTCTAAAATCAAGTATTAGAAAAAAGTAGTGTCTTCATGCCTTTTTCTTTATCTTGTTCATTTTTGTTTGTTTGGTTGGTTTCACTTTGTTGCCCAGGATGGCTTTAAGTGATCTGGGACCTTCATCTCCCTGGTGGCTGAGATTACAAGTATGCTGTATTGCACCCGCTAAATGCTGCATTTTGAGATTTTTTTCAACATATAAGAATTCTTTGGGGGCTGGGAAGGTAGCTCAGTGGTAGAGTGCTTTCCTTGCATGCAGGAGGCCCTGGATTCAATTCCTCAGCACCACATAAGCAGAAAAAGCCAGAAGTGGCGCTGTAACTCAAGTGGTGAGTGCTAGCCTTGAGCTGAAGAGCTGAGTGACAGTGCCCAGGCCCAGAGTTCAGGCCCCACAACCGACAAAAAAAAAAAAGAATTCTTTGGTGTTTCACCACAATTCTAAGACACTAGCAGTAATTACATTTTCTACATTTTTTTCTTTTTCTTGATTACCAAGAAATAACTATATGCCTAAGACTAGAAGAGTAAAATAAAATGTAAATAAACAAATATATATATACATATATATAAAGAAACTAGTCACTCATGGCTGTACAACAGATGAAACTTGTTAATGTTATAGTCTATACATTTTCATTGTTGTTGGTTTTTTAAGCTCTTTGAGATAAGGTTCTCTCTACATAGTTCAGGCTGGTCTGGAAGTTGCAATCTTCTTGCCTTTTTATCTCCTGAGTGTAGGGATTACAAGTGTACCTGGGCACCCAACCTGGTTCTTTTTAAAGTTGTACTCTTGAGACTCTTGTTTGAACATTTAACAAACATAAAAATCTTCCCCTGAATTGTTTTGAATTTTCCTATATTCTAATGAATAAACTCAGTATGATTTCCACTTATTAAGGCAGTATCTTATAACACAAAGTTCTTTTGTTACTATTTTTAATAGTGTTAAATAGCCACAGAGTTAGTGACTCAGTAATATATTCTGAAATACTGTCTCTCTGTTTTATTGTTTTACTTTCTCCAAAATGGAGTAATTTTTTTAAAACCCTCTCTCCCTTTTCCATATATGTCCATTCTATTTTACAATTTAGCTTTTTAAATGTCTAGAACATTAAGCATAGTATTTTGTACAAACCCAAGTTTAAAAACAAATACACACCAAACACCTACAGGAATCCAAAGACAAATATATATATATATATATATATATATTTATTTATTTATTTATTTTTCTGAGTAATGCAAAGATGACATCCTTGAAACTCAAATATATAAGACAAAGGAAAGAATTCAGGAAATAACCACAACTGTACTAATTAATAATTATATCAAGCAATATCCTGCCCATGTAATTGTAACTTCTCTGTACAGTATGTTCACAAATAAAATAAAATAAAATAAAAAATAATAATAATTATATCAAGCAAATATAAAAGGTAGTGGCTTTCCTAGCTAAGGAGGCCAATGTTCTTTTGTCCTTCCGCATTCACATAGTTACATGAAGTAAAAGACCAAAGGGATTTCCTTTTGCTATGAAAAAGGTAAACTGCAAAAGAGCATAACCCACAAGCAACTGTTACAAAGTAAGGAGATTCACTTTTCCATTTCTTTTTTAAAAATGTAGCTGAGGAAATTCACTTTCTACCTCCTAGTCCTTATCTCTTCCTGAGGCTACCCAAGTTCTAAACATAGTCCCTTCTTAGAGGCTGCAAACACAAACACACAAACAGGGCCCATTCCTAAGAGACTGACAAGGTCTCCCAGAACTACACAGTGTCCCCTAGGACCACCTGCTGTTGCTTGCTTTGTGGGGATGTTAATAATAATAATACCTCAGAAGGATTAGCAACAACTACCCTGGGAAGTGTGTACAATTGTCTTTACTTAGTAGAAACTGAGTCTTAGGAAACCATATGTGAAAGCATGCCAATGGTTGGGTCAGGATGGAAGCTGAGATCTCTCAATTGAGGTGAATATAGGAGGATGCCTAGACCAAATGGCTTAGAAAGTCACCTGTAATCTGAATATGCTCAAGACCTTCAGGAATGAACGCAGAGATAAACATTTAAAGAGAAAAAGTAGAAATATTGCATGATTTATTATCATGGGATTTTTTTATAACTTGTTATAAAAAGTGATTTAGATTCCCTGAGAAAAGGTCATTAGACTTAATAAACAAAAAATACCCAGCTTGGCAACATATTTGGGGTGCTTACAGAAAAAACAATCCTTGTTTATCTGAAATTTGTATTTCGCTCAGCAGCCAGTATGCTATCTCACAACCTTAGAGTTAAGGCTTTTATGGAATAAACAACATCACCAAAATAAAACAAAACTACTAATAAATTACAGAGCTACAATCCAGGTCACGCTGTGTACCACATGTCCTCTGGAGGCCAAGTGGAGGGGCTGCAAAGCTTCCTCCCTGACTTCTGTCTTTTCTTTCTAGTGGCAGACCCAGTGCTTGAGCCCAGATTACCAACTGGGCTGTTTAATTTCTAAGCCTTTCTTTTGCTACTTTATATGGCTATTGTGAGAACTAAAATATACCTGAGGCTAGAAGGATACATCATATATGTGTTTATTGGCAGACTACTTCAGAACCAGATTCTTGGAAATTTGGAAGAACTTAAGACTGTCCCTCACCATCAAGAAAAGGCTAAAAAAAAACAACCCAAAACTATTCTCAGTATACTAAGATCTCTTGACAGTTGTCTCTAAAAGGAAGGAAACAAACACACAATCTAGGAATGTGTTTGAAACCCTAAGTGAACTATGGGAAACGTAGTGAGATGCCAAAGGGTGTGCCTAACAGGAAAAGCATGAAGTCATGGATGAGGAATTCTACGCTTTTCAAAAGCCTATGGATGGGCATCTAAAACCCAGTCGATTTAAAGCATAATCTAAGAGGGGACAAGATCTTATACATTTACTAATTTAGTTTTCTGCTGTCTCTTTCCCCCCCAACCACCAATGTCTGTGCCTTTGTGTAAAAACTAACAAATCGGGATTGGCTCAGTGTTCATTTAAATACGTTTTCCATGCACTTTAATCTTTAAACTTTAACAAAACTCAATCTATGGAACGCAAATTTCTGTGAACAAAAACTGCTTGAAGAGGATTAATCAACAGCTTTGTATGTCATCTTCCAAACAAGGCCAAACACTGAATCACTGCTGAATTCCTCACGTGCAGCTACACCCAGTTAATCTTCAAGAAAGCAGCAAACTATGTAAATCTCCTTAAATTGAGGAGATAAGTACTTGACTCATCACAAGTTAGCAACATTTACAAGTACAACTATTAGAGGATGGACCATCTGTAGGTAAAAATACATCCACATTGGGAAATCCTAACATATACTTTCCTATCAACAAAGCAATCCACTAGGACAACATACTACTTGTCAAAAGGCTCTATTACATGCCAGAGTTTGCAAATAAATAAATAAAATCAAACTGTATGCCATCACCAAGTAAACTGTTTCAATAAAGTAGTTCCAAAGTAGAAGAAACTTTAAAAATTTAAGAAACATCCATAACAATGGAAACAGCCATTTTTAATATTCAAATGCTTTCAAACATGAAGCATTTCCTTTTCTTTCAAGACACAATGAAGTATTTTTACCATTACAAAAGTTTTCATTTTGATTTGGTGGATTCTGTTTTCATATAATCAGACAGATCTGCTTAACATATAACATATACTCAAGAGCCACAGTCAACAGTGACAAGATGTACATATTTATTCACTGAGATTTGAACCAATAAACTTTGTCTACATACTAGTTGGTTATCACTCCACTCCAAAGTATATCCTTTCACCAAGGCTGAGCAGGTGTGTGTCTAATGTGCTCACAGGCTTGTGATGCAGGAAAATCCTGTTTATCCCAGATGACTCTGGAGATTGGTGCTCCCAGATACCCTGGCTATACCACGTGGGACAGATTTGAGCACCACCCACTGCTGCTATGACTGATACTGGCTGACTGCTATGTATATAAAACATTAAAAGGTTTAAAAATTGTATGATCATACACTAAAGCACGATTTCTGACAATTACCCTGCTTTCAATCATCACAAATTCACAATCTAGAGTTTCCATTCACACACACAGACACAGACACACACACACACACACACACAGACACAGACACACACACACACACACACACAGACAGGCAGACACACACACACACACACATACACACACACAGAGTGGTACGAATCCTTAACCTGGACATCTGAGACTAAAGACTAAACTGTGATAAGCCTTGATACAGAGAAGCTGTGTGCTTGCTACGATATGCATGGAAGCAGACAGCTGGACTGTGATGGTTCTAAAGGCCTGATGACCACGGAGGTTCAGACCCTGGCTTTGCACTGGCAGTAGCCCAGACTCTGCACTAGTCATTTAATTCATGTCCCAGTGTTCACTGTAAAATGGAGACACCAATGGTACCTGCCTATAGAATTGCTGTCACCATGATAAAATCAGGCATCCACAGAAAGCATTTAGTATAGCAGGGGGCCAGGCCATCGTGCTCTCCTTGATTGTTAACTGCTACTTTTATACTCATAGAATGAGTAAATCTCACCCATCAGGCCTTTTCCAAAGGTGATTTTTTTTCAAAGTATTCCTTATTCAGATTTTTCCTCATGCAAATTATCTGAAATCAGCTGAGATTTTTCATTTCTAGACTAAAACCATTATGGACCTAAATCTGGTCAATTCTCTCATCAAAATGAACAAAGTAGTATGAACTGAAAGGTACAAGCTTAACATCACAAAAAAGGCATTAATTAGACTTCCCCGGATAGGCTAAGGCAGAATGAGATCACAAAGTCACTCCTGGTAACCAGGTCCTTGGGCTGGAAGTGTGCTTTTCCAGTGAATGACTAAGTACGAACAAAAGAAACCTTTGACTCAAATACCACTGGTACCCGGGGTCTTGTGTCTGTACAATGCCTACACATTCATTTCTTTCTTTGCCTATAGAAAAAAGAAAGTCTGTTTGTTTTTCTGATTCAGTCAGCCCTTTTAGTCTTTGAATCTAAGGAGAGCCCAGTGAAAAGAGAGCATCTTATCAGCTTGCTCCAGCCAGCAGGCTGTCCCCCCTCCACACACAAAACCTCCAGCCCTTCACAGCAAAATGCTTCGCCCTCAGAGCCTTTTCCCATTTCAGGGTGTGCTTTCAGTGTTAACACCCCGCTGAGTTCTGACAACAAATAAATGAATACACAAGGCCCTAACATAATTAGCCATCTTTTCAGGTAGAGAGAGGTGGGTGGGTGCTGAGAAGCTGGGAGAATACTTTTTGTAAATTGACTTCTCTCAGGAAGTTGATGTGGCCACCCTCCCCCCCCCAACCTTACTTTACAAAATGCCCTGTGAAGTGAGTTTAGAGACGCCTGATTGGGGAAGCCAGACAATCTGAGCGTTCAAGTCAGCCAAGTCATCAATAAAGATATTATTATTTAAGTAAAATAAAGGACTTCTTAACCCAAGAAAAAGTTCCACATACTTCAACATGGAGGTCAGCCAAACCAGGGTGTGTTTCCTATCTTTTTAAAGAAAAGTTAACATGTAAAAGAATCAAGAGTATTAATCAGAGAGCAGGACTTTTTCACCCTGCTAAAATACCTGCAGCTCTACTAATACTAAGACATTTTTTAAGGGACTTTGAGAAAAAGGAGTCAATATCTTCAATCATCTGTGGGTGTCTTATAAGAAAGCCACCAGGTATCCCTGTCATGGGGTCAGACGGTAAGAAGAGCCGCGATCCGCACAGAAGGGTACAGTTCGCTGGTATCATTATTGGGATAATAACTTAATTGATTTGTCTCAGTGGCTAAGGATGTAGACAAGAGATTCATTATGGAGGAAAAACATCTGCAATCCTGTTTTTGTTTTCTCAACAAGCATTTTGCCACTGACCTCTAAATCAGGTTAACCTTTTCTCAACAGACCTGCACATTTTTTACATATTTTAAAGCTAGGTTTTGTTGTTGCTATTGCCGAAAAGGGTACCCACGGTGGGGTAGAGTCTCACAACATGGCTTCAGTAACCTTCTTCTAAAAACAAAGACCAAAAAAAAAAAAAAAAACAAAAAATCCAGGCCACAACTAAACCTCCCACCCAGCTCCACTCCTTTTCCCGGCAGGGAATTCTCATCTAAACACTTCAGTGCCTTTTGGAGTTCAATCTGTGTTTTTTTTTTTTTAATGTATGAATTGGTATTAAAATAAGAAAAAGGCGTGTGTATGACTCAGGCTTACCCCAGGATCTCTGTAACTAGGATGTCACAGGATTTCCCTGTGCTTGAAAACTGAAAACCTTGAGAAAGTGACAGAAGTTCCTGTTTCTCTCTCTCTCTCTCTCTCTCTCTCTCTCTCTCTCTCTCTCTCTCTCTCTCTCTCTCTCTCTCCTTCTCTCTCTCTCTCTCGACGGGGGCGCGCGCGAACACACCACACACACACACACACACACACACACACACACACACACACACACTCGTCTTCCGGGTTTCCTCCGATGCGGACAGGTTCTTTGAGGTTCCAAGTTGAAGCTAGCAAACCCCTCGCACGACTTATTCGGGTAACTCCTCTATACACAAAGGTTTCAAGGAAAACCCCAAACTTGTTGCAGGGCCGGGCTAAGCTCCCAGCCCGCCGCGCCCCTGCCCCGGCCACCTCTCCGCGCCTCTCCCTGCCCCAGTCCCTTTTTCCCCCTCCGTCCCACCCAGCCCGGGCTGGCAGAGCGGGATCAGGGCATCTCCCTGGTGAAGGTCCCCGTCCCCGTCCCCGCGGGCCGCCTCCCTCGGAAACAAGGTCACCGCCCCGCCCGGTGCCCGCGCGGGGAGCGGAGCCCGCCGCTCGCCGCCGCCCTTTGTAGCGCGGGGCC